TTGTAAAGATAATCATACTTTGTCTTAGAGTTTTGTAAAGCTGAAAGACTCAACTTTGAGAATATGAAACGGTTTTTTGGGAAAAATTGCGTAAATTATGTGTAAATTCAATTTAAAACAAAAAAGAATTTTTCCTATGTTAATTAAATGGGAAACTAAAATAAAAATAGCGACCCCGACATTTGAGGGTGTAAGAGTTAGAAAAAAAAGTTAAAAATTTTGTTTGTAGCGCCCTAATATATATATATATTGATTGATTGATTGGAAGAAATTGAACAATATACAAAAGGGAGATACAAGTTTGACTTTAATTTAAGTTTTTGTAGCTCTCGTTTCTGCATTTACAATTTACTGCAGCTGATAAATAAAAATAAACACAATCCAGTTTATTATTTTCTTCCCATTTTTATGATTAATACGTAGATGACGAATAATAAAAAAAAATTTACCTGTGTAACCATGAAACAGTTTAGTCAATAAACAAAATTTTTGAAATTGTCATGCGCGCGTTAGTTTAGGTCATAATTTATTTCTCATTTTTCCAAATTGAATGTGAAAACATTTTGGTTTTCTAAATTTTTCGTCGGGGGAATACTTTGCTAAAATTACCGAACATGGGGGTAACAGTATTGGATCAAATGAAATGTATAATTCGTGAAATAGATGATTGCGGGTAAGTTGAACGCCATAACAATATTTGCTTCGATTTTTCTTGACATAATTTAATTAATAATAGGGGTTGTGGGCCCTGCTGTCCCCCTTGTCCGCCTCCTTGCTGTCCACCTGCATGTTGCAACCCCGCGGACTGTAATCCACTTTGCTACCCTCCTTATGCCCAAGTTTACCTTGGTTGTTGCCCTCTACCTGGCCCGTTACCCTACCGCCCAGAACCTGTCAGACCCTTACAATTACCTTGTAGACCAAAAGTAAGCACATGCATACGAAATTAATATTGCAACCGGAGAATGACTACAATTTTTAAAATAAAAAAAAATATTTACCAATCTTATGCATAACATAGGAATCTTAAAAGTCAATTGTTTTACTACAAATTTAGGTGAACATTTTGGCATGATTAACAGTTGGGACGTTTCAAATTGTATCAGCGTTTCCTGCCAAGGCGATTTACATTATTCAAGGGTGTAAATTTTAAAGAATGTATAAATCACTGCTATCTCCATTCTTTCTTAAATTAATATACACGGAAAAATATCGCAAACTCTCTTTGAATGATTTTAGCACAATACGTCGATGTCTACTTATGCAAAATCCTTAATTTATCATTTTATGCTAAGGAAGAATAGTCAAAAAGTAAAGAAATTAATTAATTAGTTCTAATCGGAATATTTTAAGTAAGTAATACATATGTAAAGAGAAGAAAACTTAAAAAGCACTACCTAAAACTTTCGAAATAAAGAATAATTGCAACTTCTTACGTAATGTCGAAGTACATTCGTTGAAAGATTAAGTGAAAAAATAAAAATATTTTTATCCTTACAAATCTCCTTTACCCTTAAATAAAACATATAAGTACACACATTTAAACTTGTGATGAGTGAGTCCAGACCAAGACCGTCCTAGTCTTGGTATAAGTCTTGCTCTTGGTCTCGCCTAATTGTTTTTGGTCTTCATCACGCCTAAATAGCTCCTTCTAGTCTCAGTCTTGGTCTTGGTCTTTCGTATTAAGTCTTGGCCTTGCTCATTTAATATGAAACTTTTTTAAATAATTCATAAGTCATACATGCAAGCTTTTCATGACTTTTAAAGAAAATAGTATCGATAGTTATAAAAACTCGATGATTGATTGATTTATCTCCTCTAACTTTTATATACCTACATACATGTTGTTACAATTAAAACAATAATTTATTTAATATTTTTCAGCCAAAACCGTTAACCCCCTTTGAAAGAGAAGACAAGAGAATTGATAATTTCTACAATGGGTATAACGTTGGTTTGTGTAGCCCTGGTGATAGAGTAAAATGTAAGGTTGAGCCAGTATACAAATCTAACAAGGGGAAATGTTGTGATGATTACATGAAAATGAAAAAGTGCTGTTGCGACGCGCCTGGTTGTCCCAGAGGTTTTAAACCATGCGAGTAAGCTTCGTGAAAATTAAACAAAAAATCTTTAACATGAAAGTTAATACGAGGGTGGATTGATAAGTTTCCGGCCTAACCAAGAGATGACGCCACTAGGCCTACCTTGAGGTGACATTCTATAGTACCATCCTTGGATAGCTTGTAGCTATAGTTTCAGCCCGATCTCCTTGCTAGTGTAGGTTTGACAGCACGCTGAACAAGACGCCTCTGTGGTTTTCGTAAAAATGGAAAAGCAGGAAAATCGTGCTGTCATCAAATACTTTTATTTGAAGGGGTTAACGCCGAAGGAAATTAAAAAAGAGATGGACTCAACACTGGGGACATCCTCCCCGTCATATTCAACCGTTAAGCAGTGGGTTTCCGAGTTTAAAAAGGGTCGTGTGAGCACCTCTGATGGGCCTCGCTCAGGACGCCCCGTTGAGGTCACAACTCCAGATATGATCGAAAAAATTCATCAAATAGTGCTGGGAGACCGCAGATTGAAAGTGCGTGAGATAGCTGAGACCTGTAAGATGTCATATGAACGTGTGCAACATATTTTGCACCAACATTTGCATATGGAAAAGCTCTGTGCAAGATGGGTGCCGCGTTTGCTAACAGTCGACCAAAAATTGATTCGAAAAAACATTTCTACCGCAAATTTGTCATTGTATAAGCGTAATCCAAGCGAATTTTTGCGTCGATTCGTAACCGTTGACGAAACGTGGGTCCACCACTACACTCCTGAAACCAAAGAACAGTCTAAACAGTGGATTGGACCAGGGGAACCAACTCCAAAGAAGGCAAAAACAATTTTTTCGGCGAACAAGGTTATGGCTACTGTTTTTTGGGATGCAAGAGGTATTATATACATTGATTACCTTGCAAAGGGTAATACTATCACTGGTCAATACTACGCAGACTTATTGCAACGTTTGAGCCACGAGGTGAAAATTAAACGACCTCATCTGGCGAAGAAAAAAATCTTGTTTCATCACGATAACGCACCAGCGCACACGTCAATCGTTGCGACGGCTAAAATCAACGATCTAAAGTTTGAATTGATGCCGCACCCTCCTTACTCTCCAGACCTAGCCCCGAGTGACTATTTTCTGTTCCCTAATCTCAAAAAATGGCTTGGCGGTAAGAGATTTGCGGACAATGAAGAAGTAATCGAAGCTGTAAATGGTTATTTTGAGGAGCTTGACGAATCAGTCTATAGAGATGGCATTAATAGACTGGAACACCGCTATGAGAAATGTATCAGCCTTGGAGGAGATTATGTTGAGAAATAAAAAAAAAAAATTTTTAAAAACCTTGTTTTTCTTGGTCAGGCCGGAAACTTATCAATCCACCCTCGTATATGAGGATCGGTGTTTTTCAGCATCCGATACATCATGATCTAGGAACGAATAAAAAGATTTACGTATTACTTAAAAAGTTATATACACTTTTGGTTATTTCCTTGAGGATTAAGTAATTTGACATATCCGTAGACAAGTTTTCCAATTTCCCCTTCATAAAATGTTACCGTCAATGACGTCTTGACGTTATTTTTGAGCACCTCATTCGCATGATAACAATACCCTTACAAGCTCTATCTTCAATTTAGGGAAAGTATGGAAACCACTGGAAGCTAGAACGCGACTGTATATCGGCTGGTCAAAAATGTAGCATTGAAATTGTCTAAAGAACCGTTGAGTTCCACGAACACTTTGACTATGGGTATTGTTAAGGATCAAAATAATTCCGAAAGTCAGAGCCGAGTGACATCCATCTTTTTCTTGATTTGTTCACTCCATAATTTGTCATAAGTATAGACATGTTTTCCGATACCTCCATACAATGTAGCAGCTAATAAATTTTTTTTGGCATTACCTGTAAGTTCCTCGTTAGTATGGAGATGGATATCACTTTACTCTTTTCCTTGATTTGTTCACTTCTACAATAACGAGGAACTTCAAGGTAATACCAAAACAAATTTATTAGCAGCACCATTGTATGGAGATATTGGAAAACATGTCTATACTTACGACAAATGCTTCCATCGTCAAAGTGATTATGTCGAAACGTTACTGAAGAAGGTAACTTTGTTACCGAAAAGTGCTTCGGACAACTACAGTGTCGTGTTTTGGCGTTGGGGTTTTGAGCTATTCTGTTTGTTCTACAANGAAGGCTGATTGAACATTGTTAACTCCTTATACTGCAAAGTAGAATTTAACAATTTGGGATTATAAATTACTGTATTTGCCGTAGAAATAGTTGAATTTATTAGGTTACTTGCAATAATCTCAATTTTAGACATGTTTCTTTAAAAATTATTTCAAGTTTCTTAATTATTACAATTAAATTTGTAATATCAGGTAAAATACCTAGTAAATTTATTTCTGCTGGGATTTTATTTTTACAAATTCACGTCCAAATTGTAATTTTTATTACTTTCGCTTACGAAGCAACGGACTAGTGGGATAAACTGTAAATATCACTTTTCGTTTTCGTTTTTCGTTTTCTCCGTGTGGGTGAAAAATATTTGCTTTATATTCATTTGGCTCGTATATTGCATTATTTTTATCTCACTATAATTATCACATAGTAAATTTACGAAGGAATAAGTTTTCTAGAAAACAATATACTGGAACATCCAAAATCCCTAACTTTTTGCGAACAGTAATCTAATCTAGATTTTCGTCTGGCTTCTCTGTTTCCCCTTCTAATATGTCTCTAAATAGTCTTTCATGACTCAAAAAGTGTCCTACCATATCCTATCTCTCCTTTTCTTCATTGACTTGCACAACGTTCTTTTTTCTCCTACACCTTTTCATCCACGGATTTTTTAATCAATTGCTTTAAACTTTTCCTGTCCGTAGACTATTTTTAAAAGATCTTTAAAACTCTACATAGGCATATTAGCCTTTGTATCGACCGCTTTTCTATTACGAATTTGTTTATTTAAGGATGTTACTAACACCGTCTAATCCGGGCGATCCTTGCGCATTATGGACGGCAAAAATATACCCATGTAAACCGGAACCTAAGAAAAAGACCGACAACGTTTATCGACCAGGTCCCTGCTGCAGACCAGGATGTCTGCATTGGTCTCCACCCGGAGGCCCTTGTCTGTACGATTGTCCTTGTAAAGCACAATGTTTCAATCATCCACCAGGAATGAAACCAACGGGTTGTATTTTTGAATATAAAAAGAAGAAGGGCACATGCTAAGGTAAGTAAAGGAGGATATGCAATATTAATTTGAAATCAGTTTTCGATTTTTTATCCACTATAAACTTCCTCAAATTAATGAGGAAAATATTTTTGTTGCTGTTGTCACATCCTCGCCGGGAATCGAACCCGGGACTTTTGGCTTTACGCACCAATGCTCTCACGAGAGATGACAACAGCAACAACGTGGTCAGAGCATTTATGCGTAAAACCAAAGGTCCCGGGTTCGATTCCCGGCGAGAAAAAACGAAAAATTATTTAAAATTAATATTGCATATTAACATTAACCACTTTTAGTAACTAACAATGTCATATATTTAGTAAAGGAGGAGTTTCTAATTGTATGTTAATGTGGTTCCTTTTTCTTTGGTTTCGTTAAAAATTAAAAACATTGGAAAAAAGAAATAATTTATTTGTGATTACTTTAGCATGTAGTAGTAGATATTTTGTATAAGTGACAGACCCAGAGGAAGAAGACGAAATGGGAGATGTTGTCCTATGAAGAATGTTGTATGAGAAAAATTAATTTAGATTTTCTGCTAAATATCAAAAATAAGATAAAAATAAAAAGAAACTATCTTCATTTCAATAACTTAACAGCTGTTGTATTTTATGGTTTGCACTATGGCGATTTTACTGTACCTATTTTTGTTTTAGGAATCAACTTTTTTTTAAGGAGGAAGAAGAGTTCTACGTATCACTTGTGTCTTGTGTATTTATCTGTTANTAAATTAGTGACAGTTGATGTTAAAGTTGACATCAAAACTAAAATTTTGGTCGTATTGACAATAGAAAACGTCAAATTTTTTTCACTTTAAATTGTCTTTAAAATAACTTTTTTAAATTTTACTTTATTTTATTTTTAATCTGAAAACCTAAAAACGCAGATTGTCGAGTTTCTACTGCTTTAACTATTACCATTTTTTTTGTTAGACTATTTACTTGCCGGGACAGTATCAGTTTCATTAGTAAAATGAGCAAACTGCTCTATTAATTAATCCCTCTTACAGCCCCTAAGAACTCGTTTGTATGCTTTCTAAATATATTTTCAATTTGTGCAACTCTGCCAACTAGACATTCGGAAGGTGTGAAAGAAGTTATAATTTTGACCACGAAACGTCATTAACAAAGTGATCAGTTGGGAAGTATCTAAATAAAAAGTAATTTATAGTTGGTATAAATGGAATAGTACATTACGTATCGAGGGAAGAAACAGGGCATGTGAATTGCTACATGCAGTCTGACACAACCCTGTTTCTTTCCGAGGTACGTATACTATTTATTGTCATGTTTGTGCGAAAAGCTCGTCATTAAATTGATGGTTGGCGAAATAAGAGTAAGATTTAGAGGTTAGAAAGACACTGTCATTGAACAACTGATTTTTGCGCATGCTCCTCCCGACTAAAATCTGCTAAAACACGGCTGAAAAGAGGCCATTTCTTCCCTATTTCATTGCACGCAAAACGAGCTTTCCGCGCTAATATGACAAAAAATGAATTTCCACATTAATATTTGATATATTAACCATTATTAAATATCAAAAATAAGATAAAAATAAAAAGAAACTATCTTCATTTCAATAACTTAACAGCTGTTGTATTTTATGGTTTGCACTATGGCGATTTTACTGTACCTATTTTTGTTTTAGGAATCAACTTTTTTTTAAGGAGGAAGAAGAGTTCTACGTATCACTTGTGTCTTGTGTATTTATCTGTTACCTGTTACGGTAAAATGTTTTGTCCTATTTGATTATGTATTTGTAATGTCTTGTGTACCTTTTGTCTGTACGTCTTGTTTTTGGTTTTGTGATTGTTTTTTTTTACAATAAATACTTCTTTTTTAAAATAACGTTTTATCAAAATACAATCAGGGACTTAACGAGATTCATAAGTTAGGGGTGGGGGGGTAAGATCGCCCTTGGATACAGTGTATTTGGAACTGTGTTCTCAAATTTCTTATATTCAATTAAATAAAAACGGAAATGTTGAAAAATGTAAAGAAAATGTAATCCCATCTGTTAAATTTCCAAAAATTGACAATTATTAATTTTCTAAAAAACGCTGAAACCCTCTGTTAAATATAAATCAAACACAAACATAAAATAAATAAATACATTAATGGTAACACGCCAAAAAGTAATGGGAAACCTCGAATAAATTTGTTGTTGGACGCCCTTAGGTTTTTTGAATATTCTAATATTAAAAACAAATTATTCAAGCTTTCGCGGCCATCGTGTCATTTTTCGGGCTCTGTGGCCGTCGTTCCGAGTATTTTGCTCTCAACGTTTCGTCGACAAGCATGGACATCTTCAGGAGTTCTTCTTCCTAGGATAGTAAGTCGAAGTCTGTCTGTTTGTTTGTCTAACTCAACCAATCATCATGTAATTTTGCGGACACACTGTCAGGGTTTTCAGGAAAGGACATAGGGTACCTTTTATCCAAAAGAAGAAATGCTGTCCCCGAGGGATAGAAAAATTAATTTTTATGTAGTCGTCAACAATAATTTTTAATAAGTATTTGGGGCATCAACACGAACTTAACGGCGGGTAAAATCTAGTTACCAATAAATTCTCTATCAGTAAGTATTACATTATTGTTTTAATTTTAGGGGTTTTAGACCGTTGTACACTATAGAACATTAGTATAATATTTGTACTCTTGATAAGGACATCTTAAGCAGAAATATATCATAATAAACATTTCTTGAAACATAAAAGATATTTTAGGTAAACGTGTAGATGATGGCCCTCACCCCCGAAGGGGGTGGGGGTAGGGGAATCGAAAGAGAGTGGTTTCCTGAGTAAAACCCCATAAAAAATTTGCGGCGGTCTCACCCCCATAAAAAGTTATGGGGGTTGAAAGTTGATTATTTTGACAATTTTCATACACTATAATTCAAATAAAATTCAATAAAAAAAATTTTTCAAGCGGGTGGAGGTGGGGGATCGAAAGAGGGTGGTCACTTGAACAAAACCCGATAACCTAACCTAACCTACCCCATTGATAAAGATATTTAAATAATGTTTTATATAACTTTCTCAATATTTTTATGTATTTTTCATTAGTTTTACCTTTCAATATTGTTTAAGAATGACTATATAAATATTTACCTGCCTAGAAATGTGTAAAAATTGGCATATTTATTAACTTTGAACCCCTATAACTTTTTATGGGGGCGAGACCGACAAGAACTTTTTATGGAACAGTGGTGGGGGAGACCTCCACTTTCGATTCCCCCACCCCCACCTCGGAAGGGGAGCCATCATCTAGATTCTAGACCTTTACCGATATTTTATTTAGAAGATTTCAAATAGGAGAAACAATTTTTTGAATCTTGAACAGATCTGTATTGATTCGGGTCTAAAAATAAAATTTAGTCTGCATCCAGCATCAGTAATAGAAGAAACTTGTCACTTCTGCATACGAAACGTTAGGAAGCGACTCCAACCTAGGACGATATTTAGACCTGAATCAGGACAGCGCCAGTTCACCAACTGACTACGAAAATCTTTACCAATTTTTTTGAATCTTGTTTAAACAATACATGACTTAATTGCCTTTTATAAAAAAAAATACGAATAGTTTTCCCAATTAACAAAGATGCCTCGTCCTTATAAAAATCACAGCAATAATGTTTCTGTGGTATTTTAATTATGTCACAAATTAATTAAAAAGGTCCAGTTTGACATGCAAATGTAGTCTAAATTTGAAAGTATACAGTTAAACACGTATTTATTTCGATTTATCGATACAAAATTCTTGTGATTTAAAACACTTAGCTTCACAATAAAAAATGCGTCCAGAAAAAATGGACGATAGGTGAATTTCATATAAATCCGTATTTTTTCTTCAATCTTAATTACTACTTTCGCTTTTCAGGTCCTGTCCATTACCAGTAAGTAAAAAATTATCCTTATTAGGGCTAACATGGCTACCATACGTACCCATATTATATGTATATACGCAGATAGACTGATATGGTAATACATAGTATATTAATAAGACTAAATAAAGAATCTAGGTTATTAAGGGTTGGAAAGCTTATATAATGGTGAAGAAACAACACCGACGTTTCGCCTCTATTTAGGAGATTTTATCAAGATAAATAGATTGAAAAAACCTCTAATTAATGCATTATGCATTTTGTCCTTAGCCCATCCATTGCAGCAAAATTCCATTTGTACAAATACCTATTACAAAAAATCTCCCTCATCTGCGTCATGTGTTTTAGACTCTTTCCATTTGTTAGGCCCCAATAGTTTAAATTAAAACACAATTAATTAAAATAGTCGATTGTATTAATGAAAGATAATTTTCATAATGACTTATCAGAATGAAATAAACTTTAAACTTTAACAAAATTTGATAAGAAGCAATACAATATTGTTTCACCACACAGAGGCATTCTCAAAAGCTGAAGTAGAAAAGGTGAGGTAAAACAATATCTATAGTAAATTGTAACGGGGTGTGTTTTAGTACAATGATATGCGTACAAGTTTTAATGTTTATTTCATTCTAAAACATCATTAAATATTTCAGTCGTCACTTTTAACACCTGAAGAAAGAATAGCCAGTCGTTACGACAATTTTTACAACGGCTACAACATAATCAGTCGACCCAAAACACCAACCACATCATCTTCTCAAGATCCTAACCGCGATAAGGGTCAGACTGTTGATGGACAAAAGCCCACATGTGAAAATTATAAGCCACAAAGGAACAAAGGAGAAAAATCAGAAAAGCCTCCCTTCAGTATCGACATTCCCGTAGCTCTGCCACCAGGCATAAAACCCTGCGATATGAAACTGGTCCCTCCGAATCCTTGTTGTGAGCATGGAAATTGGACAGTAAAAATTTTTCCTTGCCCGATACAAATGGGAACATCAAAGGTAAATAAAGAGGATGCAAACGATGGTGTTTGTAAAGTTGGCTGTAAGCTTTGGAAGTCTAAAGAGGCACCCTGTCTCTACGATGACCCCTGTCGGGCACATTGCTATAATCATCCCCCAGGAATAAAACCTTCTGGGCGCTTTCCTTAAATAAATTAAATTCCTTCTTGCCAGAACGTCTTTTTGTAGACAAATTTTTAATTTTAATAAATAATTTTCTCATGTAGGATTAAATAAGTATATCAAAGTAATTAATGTGATTTAAATCTTTTTTTCTACAGGACAATCAGTCATAATCTGTGATGGAAGTTCATTTTGAAATGGTGTTATTCAATGATTATACGTAATAAAAGCTGAATAAAATAAAACCATAAAACATATAGATTACTTTAATAAAGGCGCAAGCCCTTTCCGATCGATGCCTAAAGATAAATACGGTTCTTATCTAATAAGTCTGCTTATAACTATCGCATCTCTTATTAGCAAAGACTTTTGATTTCATTTCACAGAGTATCCTCAGTATAGCACAGGAAATACAAAATGAAACTTAGTTTACCGTTAATGGTGATCGTTTGAATAGTAAAAATGACAAAAAAGATATTTACTTTACACATTATTTTCATTTTCTGGTAATAATTTCATGACAACCTTATACTTAAAACACTCAAAAACTTTCGCAATAACTACGTTAAATTTAATTTATAGTATTTGTTACATACTACCCATAAACTCCTACTTGAGTTGCTGGTATATCTAAATTATTTGTTTATTTATTTTTTTTTTATTTATTTAGCATTTTAGCATATTGCTAATACATAACAGAAAATACATTTTATTCTTAACAATTAATTTTTAAGTATTCAAAAATCCCCCTTTTGAAACTCCTTAAACTCGTAGCTCCCTTTAGTGTCTCAGGGAGAGCGTTAAAAAGTGAAACCCCTTCAAAGAACAATGTTTTCTGAAGTAATTTAGTTTTAACACATGGTAAATCATAATCTGATCTAAATCTGGTATTGTGTAAGTGAATTTCCGACCGTTTTCTAATAAAGTTATTCAAATATTGTGGCATTTGACCTGTCCGAATTTTATAAATTAAAATTAAATTAGCCCTCTTAACACTTTGTTCAACAGTCAGCCAGTTTAACATATGCAACATTAATTTTATCGGTGTATATCTATTGCATCCCAATATAATACGCATAACTTTATTTTGCTGTACTTGTAATCTATGTATACAATCTTTTGTACACGAAATCAATAAGGAGGAACAATAATTAAAATGGGGCATTATTATAGTATTGTACACAATTGTTTTTGTCCACTGCGATAGATATTTCGAAATTCTACAAAAGAAGCCAATTTTTTTAGCCAACTTTTTACATAAATAATCAATATGCTTCGAAAAATTTACTTGCGGATCTAATACAACTCCCAAGTATTTAATTTCGGACACGTAGTTGATTTCTACATTGTTCATTTTTATTATCAAACCTAAATCTGAATACTTCCTACAATTTACTCTAGTACCAAACACCATACATTTTGTTTTCTTTAAATTTAATTTTAGTTTATTCTGACATAACCAATTATTCAGTATTTCAAGCTCCTTATTTAATATATTATATATTTCCACAAAATTATTTCCGGACACACAAATGACAGTATCATCCGCAAATAGATTTACAACTGAGCCTTGAAAAACTTCTTGCATTTCATTAACATATATAAGAAATAGAAGAGGACCCAATACACTGCCCTGCGGAACACCCATGTTGCTTTCTATCTTATTTGACACATTACAATGTATTCTAGTTTTATAATACCTGTCGGTTAGATAGTCTTTAATCCAATCTAATGCCCTACCTTTTACCCCATATAACGCAAGTTTCTTTACTAAAATCTCACGATCAATGGTTTCGAACGCACGCTGCAAATCTATAAAAACGCTTAATACTACTACTGGATTAGCAGATGAATTAGCAATGATTTAAACAGCGGTACCAATAATAATAATCGTGGGGAGTCAGATCAAAGAATCAGGGAATTCAAGATCACGAGAAGCGAATAAAACAGGGTGATGAGGCGATTTGCCGTCTTCACTCGCCCTGTGATGGTCCCCTATCATTTTCTAAGTTTCTCTAATTTAATTAATTTATTAATTTTATTTAATACTGTATCGGCTATCGTCAAATTATTATTTTAATTTGAGATTAAATACAGGACCGGAATGGAAAATAAAATCGGATCAAGTATTGTAAAATGCAGTGGCCCTTTCATTTAAATATTTATTTTTATTCGCAAGTGTATTGCCTAAGCAACTGGCCGGCCGATCGAGCTTCAAATTGGGTCCCAACTGGTCAATTCGGCTCTCATTAAAATGGTAACGTAACAAATATTACAAACCTCACATTATAAACTGACCACATACGTCAAAAAGATCCTGTCTAATTCACATTAAGTTCTTTGGGTAAACAAATTTGCTATTCAAGAAAGAGAAATTGGCACGTATGAACTTCTATGCACCAAGGGTTAAATGCCATACATCAGAGATAAGTGTTTTAAGTTAACTAATTTTTGTCTGAAGTGTCGATTCTAAAGATTCACAGATATTATTTTCTATAAGAAATAAAGATTGACTTACCTTAGCGCGCCATTTACTCTCGAAACTGTTGTTGGACGAATATTCCATTAATAGACGAATTTTTCGTTTGATATGCATCTTATGTTTCGTAATGCACTTTATTTAAAGATGTAGTACGAAATTTATTGTGTTCACACAAAAATTGTTCGTTTCGAAAAGAAATAAAAAATGTTTTAAAAAACTGCTAAAGTTAATTGAAAGATCAACGTTATTAAATGTTATTTACTTATGTGTATTAATTCATGAAACAAAAGTATAGACCTAATAAGTCCGGTCGAGTGCAACCACAATAAAAATTACAACACTGATTGTGAGTACAAATGTCATTCAAATTATTCATATTCTTTTGACAAACTTCCGATTAATCATTTTTATAAATTAAATAGATAAACACTTCGCGAACATTTAGTACTGTAAACGCGAAAAGGAATGTGATGTTACTTATCGGTCGTTCACTATCTGTTGTGTTTTTTCGATCAGAATGGAACTATGACCTTGCTAGGACATCTTCCAACTTGTTTATATGTTATAGAATAACATTAAAATCTGATAGATACATATTAAACTTTATAATAAGCACAATTGAGAGCTTTTTTAAACTAATAATTTTTAGTTTGACGATAAAAAATTTAGACATTTTTTATACGTAGACCACTTAAATCCTTTTCACAATTAGGAGTAAATAATATCAAGTATTGATAAAAATAAACGAATGCTGTATTTCTTTTTTATCTGCAGACCACTTGATTTTCCATAGTAACGTATAATGCACCACCCTCGATAATATGAACAAAAAACTGTTCATATTGTCGATCTGTTCACGTTTACGAATGTTATATTTTGATATACAATAAAACAACATCTATAAACAACAACATAAACGTGCAAACTAATCCAAAAGTTATAGATGAGAGATTATTTTTTCCTAGAAATTTTTTAAAAGCTAATTCCAAATTATATATTTAATTTTAAAGATATGCTTCACTGGCCTTAAATTGTTTATCATTTATAAATGAATTAATTCTGCTTTTTGCCTAGGTATTTCACCACTCATAATAACATTTTTATTTCGTTGATTAAGCTTCTAACTATTTAATATTTTTCTTTTACCTGGTCCAAAATACGCATATGCATCTCTTACAGTTTTAAAAATTAATTCCTTTTTTTGTTTAATCGCAAGCAATTGCACATTTTAATAACAATTACGACACTTTGGTTATTTATATTGAAAAAAATTCTTAGTATAGGCAGAACGCAGATAACACAACGCAACGAACAATGTAAAACAGATATAGCAAAATATTGTTTCTATAAGCGAAGGTTTACTTTGTTCGCAGTCTACCATAATTAATAGCTGTTTTTTTAATCACTATGTCCTTTTTTACTTCTAATTGTAATAATAATGAATATTGATAAATGAAAAATTCAATCATGCAGACATATAAATGTAGGCATGTCATAAAAAAGTTTTATTTGTACTTTCAAAAATTAATATTATTATTACAATCCTGGCATTATAAACGCAACATTATCAAGTATTTTAGACAACTGCTCAGTCGTACAACTGTTTTCGTGTAGTTCTGGGATTTGCTGTGTGAGACATAAAAGAGGTCCTAGAGCGCATAATAAAGAGTCTAACAACACCGAAAGACTTCCAGACACGGCAATTTGACCCTAAAAGGTTAATTTGTTTTCGAAAAATAAATATATTCTTTTAAACCCACAACCAATACAAAGCCTACCTCGTGCTCTTTTAGTCTCTCCCCAATAATTGTTAAACTTTCTCCCAGTAATTTTAAGTGGGCAGCAACATCTACGGGCATGATCCCGTTAACTTTATAAACAGCGTTACCCTCTTTCGCTCTGGGACTCGGTGGCGATACTTGTGTGTTCCCAACATTGGGCATTCCCAATTGAAACGAAGTAAATGCCCCAAGTGACGCCTTTTTAGCAACGAATTTAGTTTGATTCGGTTTGGTTAAACTTATTGAAGTATTTTTAAATTTCATGTCGTCTATAATATGGAATCTCAATTAATATTTTCATATATATCTCACAATTGGCTGAAATATTTTATCGCTTCAGGAAATTAATTTGTTTTTATGTTCTTATAATAAAGATTACTATCCAAAAAAAAAAAAAATAAAAACTGGAAAGATAATCACAATCCTTTACCATCTCTTTTAGGTATCCTATTTCTTCCTATTATCTTTCCGTCTTTAATAATGAGCCGTTTCTTCTCTTTTTCAGACATGAACATATGATTAAGTCCAGATTCACCATCGGTGTCAATTTTTTGAAAGCCGACGCTATTTCCAGTGTTAGTATCATAATCGCTTCCGGATTCGGATTCATCCGACGAATCTCCGGTACCCCCTTCATAAGCGTCACTGTCGTAGTCTGAGCCACTTGGTGGTGGATCTAAATCGTCGTAACTAAAATCATCTTTTTGTTTTTTGTACGTCTGAAACTATTAATTTGTTTATTTTTTAGATTAGTAATTTTGGTATGAATCAGTCCAAGTACCTCGTCCTGTTTATGTGGAGATACTTTAGCTCTTGGTGAATTAAAATCCATTGGCTCAGGTTTACGTTGTGTCAGTGGCTGTCTTTTATGAGGTCGCTCAATTTCATCTAATGATTCAAAATCAACAAGTTTTGATGACTTTTTCCTAACTCTTCCACTCCTTGAGACTCCTGTCACTTCTAAATCTGAAACAATTCCAGTTACTTTAAATTTCGAAATTTCTTTAACTAATCCATAATAATACTAATCCACCTTTCAAAAACTTCGTCGTTAATGATATTAAATGCCTTACTTTTGTATGACAAAAAATCATTTATTTTAGCAAGGGTTTAAAAGTTTATTGCAATATTAAATTTTAATTAATTACTGAAGTAAATAGAAGGTTTTGTAAGAAAAAGAACAATAAAATAAACTCATCTTTATTTTATCTTAATAGTTCGTAGACAGCCATAAGTATGTGCATTGTATAAAATATTTTACAATGTTTAAAATTGGAAATTGAATTTTAAATTTTACAGAATTTTAGATAACCCAACGTACATGTTATTAATAAAATATTTAATAACAAAGTAGGTGTTGATCGAGTTTTTAATGTAATTTTTACAGTAGCTGTATGCAACCAATCAAGCAGAATAGATCAAATGTACGCTTTATACTTTAAAATGTGCTTCGAGACCTATTACGCCGTAGACAACCAAACGTACATGTTTTACTTAAATACTTAAAAAGGAAGTAGGTATTGGGTTTTTAATGTAATTTTTACAATAGCTGTATGCAACCAACCAAACAGATTTTCAAATAGAGCGGGACAAAGCTTGAATGTTTTGTGCTTGAACATGTGCTTCGTGTCCTTTTAGGGCTTACGACAAAAATACTGTACTTCACGTACTTAGGGTTTCATAAATGAATTACCTTATAAAAGTTGTATGGGTTTAGAGTTCTTTTGATAGTTTATTGTTACTTTTTTCAATTAAACAACTAAAAACTACAAGAACCACTTAAATTTTCATTTCTTTCCTATAAACACAGATTACTTTTACAAAAAAACTAAAAAACAAAATTAGTAATAAAAACCTAAACACCATTAAAAACATTAAAAGGACTTTAATACTGAAACCTCC